TTGAGTTTGCACTTTCTTCACCATTGAATGCACATTTTTGAAATGTCAACAATATAATAAAATAGGTTTTTTGCTGTATTTTTCTTAGTAAGCTTCACTAATTTTGTACATCTTGCGGCTTTTAAAGTAACAACACCACAAAAATGAAAAAATCCGCGACCTTTAGGGGTGTACACCACAATATTCATGTACCTTTAGTGACATTTTTAGTAAAGACGTTGTGATAGATTGATATAGGATGACTTTTTGGGAAATTATCGATATAGATGCATACTTTAGTGGCATTTGTTTAACAAACCCTGTAATAGGATTCATTATGTATACTTATATCTATAGTATAACATTTTTATTTTAAATAATGTTTGAATTCATTGTAAAATTTTAATTGATTAATAGGAGAAATTAGGGATAAAAGGGCAGAGTATGAATAACATTTTTATTTTAAATAATGTTTGAATTCATTGTAAATTTTAAATTGATTATTAGGAGAAATTAAGGGATAAAAGGGAAGAGTATGAAGCTAAGACTTCAACTCATGGTTTTGTTAATGTAGATGAGATCAAAAATCAAGTTATTGCTAAAGTTTTGGGGTCCTTAAGCAGATGACCAAGTTCATTTTCAAGGATCATTCGTTAGCCCCATCAAATATTTTGGACCAGCTCGTCTCAGTACATGCCATCATAGAACCAGGTTTCCCAGTCATAAGTTAATTGTTTAAAACAACAATTGGTTTAGGTGAATGAAAAAATTGCTCAAATTAAAATATGAAGAAGAAGTGAGGGAAGAAGAGAGAGAAATAACATATCGGGAAAATATGAAGACTTTCAAAGCCAACTTTATGTTATGAAGAAGCTGATACAACAAAACCATGCACAAAATCTGTCATCTTAGGTGATTTCTTAGGTTCATGCTTTGTTTATTCTAGTAAACAATGTTGAAATATATTACACTTCACTTTAATGTTCATAAATTTTGATTTATTTTTGTTGTTAAGTATTTCAACTTAATTAGTGTTGTAGTTAAATTTCAAGTTTGTTGTTATTGGATAATGCTAAGGATATTAAATTTGGGTAATACAAAGTAGAAAATAATATATGCCAAATTAATTAATATTAGGGGTGTTTTTAATAAAAGATCACTACAAGTCACACTATTTTGCGGCATTTTGGAATAAAAACGCCACTAAAGGTATACACATTTGCTGCATTTTTTTAAGAAAACATACCATTATATACATAGTCAATAACGACGTTTTTGGTTAAAACATCAATAAATATCACAACATATAAAGGTGTTTGACGGAACAAACACCACTAAAGACAAGATAATTCTCAGAATTAGATAACAAATATTGTTATATATTACGAAAATTAGCGTTGTTTTTCCCAAAACGTCGCTATATAACTCGAACTTTTGCGATGTTTATGATCACAAACTCTGCTAACTATTGTGGCGTTTGATTTAATGACGCTTGATTTAATGCTCTTTCTATCACCGACAGTGTTTTTAGTGGTGCTAAAAAACACCGTTAAAAACCTATTTTGCTATAGTGGAATCACTGTACAACTTCTACTAAAGCACTTAATTGTAAATGATTATCAACATTTTGTTTTGGAGTTAGATTTACAAATACAATATCAATATGTTGGGATTCTTGAAATTTTCCTAACATTGAACATAATATTCATGAGCTGAACTAATATCTTGCCTCATATGTGTTTCAAATGCACAATCTCTCTCTTCAATCCTCTTCTAGTTTTTAAACCCTTGTACTATAAAAGTATCTTAACCATATTTTCTTAATGGTTTATTTTCCAAAAGAAAGCACAGGAAATAATAAGCAAAAATAGTAGTAGATGATTACTCCAATCAATTAAATATCTTGAACCATTTAGATTAAAATAGTCGTGGATGATCATCTGAATTAGATTGAAAATACTCTTATGCTAGAATTTGACTATAATTTATGAATTTCTCTATAATTTCTTTTTTTTTTGACGGATAACTATTAGTTGACTTAGGTAAAGCTTCATAAAAGGATACCTATAAATGCATTCAAATGTTCCTCGTATGAAGCTTGAGTAGATATCCCTTGATTTGTATCCATAATTGTTTTAGTGGGAGCACTATGGTGTGTATTGTTAATGTTTAATTTTGAAAAGTAAAAATCTATTATTTTTCTCTTCATATTTCAACCTAAATAAAAAAAGCAAGATAATCAAAGTTCATCCCTATTATCCTAATTTCATCAGTTATAATAGAATAACAATAAATCTTTATCTAATTTGGAGCAAGGTTATCTTCGGTTCATTAAAAGATAAACTTTGGTGGGATAATTCGATGGAGTGTGCTGATTACAATGTAAGCTTGCAAGCAACAGTTTGGTCTCCTCTGAGATTAGACCAAGTTAAATTCAATGTGGATGGGGCAGCGACTAAGGAAGCGGTGGGTTGTGGTGGTGTGTTGAGAACCACATCTGGATCGGTAGTGGCTTTGTTTTTTTGTCCTGTAATGTGCGCAGGGCAGATTACGCGAAATTAATAGAAATCAGGACGGCACTGGAAATATTTAGAGAAACAAGCTTGTTTTGGAAGGTGGAATTGATAATATAATCGAATTCTTAAGTGGTTTTGAACTGGATATCTTCTTCGGCCTTGGAAGTGGGGGGAGATTTTTGAAGAGCTAGACCGTTTGATATGTGTAGAGGGGAAAGTCCAGTTTGCCTCCACACCACGAGGCAAAGAAGGGTTTAAATAGAAGTGTCTTCTTCAAGGCGTGGTGGTAAGATATCCTCGGCCAGGGAGAAGATGGATCCCTGGGATTACCAGCTTCGAGTGGTCTCAGTTTGGTTGATGCAAAGCAAGTAATTTGCTTTTCCTCTGTTCCCTGGGTGCCTCCAGGATCGTGTCTAAATCTTGTACTTAGTGTCTTTAGTTGTAGCGGGTATGATGGCTTAGTTGTCTTCTGCAGTGTTGTTTTCTTGGTTCCATTTATAACAAGAGTCACTGTGAAAAGGGTGTAGTTCCTATTTGGATCCCCGGGCTCGAGTAGACTGTTTTTTCGAGTATAGAGTAGTAGATTAAGTGATAGAGCTCTTGGGGGATTTTGATAATTGTCTTCTAAAACTTCTTGTATAGTCACCGAGAATGTACTTTTTTCCTCTGTATAAGATTTAGGTAGGCTTTTAATGAAGATCCTTCCTTAGTTTTTGCCTTGTGATTTTAATAAAATCATATTTTGCTGAGCGAAGAAAAGATAAAATACTTATACAAGCAATGAATAAAATAGGATATGACAAAAAAAATGAATAATTTTGATTAAATAAACTAAGATATGAGGATACATATTAGATTTTTACTGTAATCTTGAACGTGATATTAAAAAATTGCTAAGCAAACTGTTAACAGCATCACAATTTTATATATATAAAAAATTAAATAGCAAACTAAAAGACAGCATAAAAATCCAGAGAAAACAATAAAAAAAACTAATAAAAAAATATTGACAAGCATGATTTAATTGAATCAGGTTTGTCAATAAAATAATGCAAGCATCACCTAACAAGAAAATTAAACTAAACATTACTTATATATTCGCCTTTTCCCAACTCATTTTTTCTATTTTCCTTGTTTTTCTTACTAATTTGTAATAAATACCATAACTATCCTTGTCGATATAATTCATGATGATTAAGCTTATTTTTCTCTTAATTAGGGTTCTTAAAATCCAAATTCAGCCTCCTCATTCTTTTGAGAGACTTCTTTTAATTTTTATTTACAAATATTTATTATATAATTAATTGAAACTTAGAATTTTGTGACTGAATATAAGGGGTTTATATTATTGATAATTGTTTTATAAAAGAAATGGAGATTGATCTCAAGATTTAATATTAATTTATTTATTTTTTTAATGTTAGGTAATTATAAGATAGTATTACTTCTAATTTTTTTTAACTATTTGACAATAAATACTCAAACACTTTGCAGACGACATGCTCAAACTTGAAATCTTTAGAGATGTTCACCATCTTTAACAATTAAAATAATATTAACTTTAACTAAAATGATATTTTTGTATTATATTACAAATTTAATTTACCTAATTTTGATAACTTTGGTTCCAAAATTTGAACTTTTCAAATTAGAGATATTCAAATATTAATATATTAAGGAGAAGGTTGTTTGGCTTTTCACAAAGTCTTGGAATATGCTGTGCCTTCCTCTCTGAATTATGGGCGTTGCACTATACTTTAAAACATGCATGGAATTTGGGATTTAAGAAGAATGACGTGGAAACAAACTGTATTAAAGTCTTGAATGCTTTGGTCCATGAACGGTTTACACTAGAAGGTAATGTCATTGAAGACGCAACGAAATTTCTGTTGAACCAAGTTTGGGAGGTGAAGTCCGCCACGTTTGACGCGAACTTAACAAGATTGCAGACTCTTTGGGGCTTTAAGTCGAGATAAACCGGTTGGAGAAACTCTTTTTAACTCGCCCCCTAACAATATCATTTTCATGCTGGAATGTTAAACCTTGAATTAGATAGTATAATTTGATATTCTGTATTAGTAAAAAAATTACATATACAAGGATCAACAAGAAGTGGCAAATTTAATGCTACGACATACATACAATGAAAGCTAGCTATCACTTATGCATCTTAGTCTTGGCTAAACTGAAAAAATGCAAGGAGAAATCTGATTTAGCCATTGGATTTAAAGGTTAAAAAGAAAGAAACGACATCGTCGAAATTATGAAAAGATCTCTTCATTGATGTTGATCATGATGTATTGATGTTGCTGGTGAGTTCATTCTTTAATAAAATATTTGCTTATCACAGAAAAGGGGAAAAAGTATAATTTGTTCATATTCTGGTATTATTTCATCTCAAGTCTTTGGATCTATGCATAACTATAAGAAGAAAAACAGTCAAAAAAAGGGAAAGAAATTACTGATATATATTGCAGATGAGGCTAGTGCATGAATGTGGTTTCCTCAAGTCCTGGTGAAAGTATCATCACTAGACAAATCAAATGGACTCCAATTACCAAACAGAAGAATTGGGTCGTGAGTTTCTGGTCCTAAAACTGGCTCTTGAGCTGCTTGCAAGGAATGATAGACTGAGGAATGGTAATTTAGCCACAGTAATTCTTGAGAAGATAAATCATCACCTGGCAATGGTGGCAATGCACAGTTACTTGTTTCATGACCCGTACATTTTTGAACTGCATCATGATGTTTGTGAATTGATTCTAATCCAGAATAGTACATTTGATCATTGTTGCTCAAATGATTTTCTATGGTCAAATGGGAGTAAGCGAGGCCTCCATTTAGACAATTCTCTTCTGGTAGCTTAAGACTTTGTTCCATGTTTGTGAACTCTAGCAATGGATCGAACTTGCTAGGCAACTCTAGCACTTCGAAACCAGACTTGTTTTCTGGTTGTTTATTGTTCAAAAAGTTTGCAAAAACGAGAGCCAGATCGATATGAGAGCCATCGAACATCGCCGAGGAGCTATTAGACTCGGATAACGCATTCACTTTGTTATCATAGTGAGAAACTAAACCACTCGGAAAACTCTTGGAGGGAACACCATCAATTGGCATCCTTAACAATGGCTTACCTCTTCGGCTCTTGCGGCAGCCACCTCCGACCGGCACGTTCCGAAGGGACCCTCCTTTAGTCCAATATCTTCTACAGCCTTTGCAGAAGTACCTTGGTTGTGTTAAGCTGTAATTGTTGTAGTAGCAGAACTTGGTATTGGAAGAACCACACCTTGGACAATTTGGTGATATCTCCACACTAGGCTTCCATCTTCTCTCCATAACCAATTGCTTTCAACTCCGTAGCCTTCATCGAAAAGGAAATGTTTGAGAAATATTGGTTAACTTTGAATGCTTATGGGGCCTCGGAAATGAAGGAGTTATAGGAAGCAAATGCCTAGAGAGGCACAATTAGCAGACAACCTTCCCTTGTGAATACCGGATTCGAAGTTTGAATAGATTATAAAAACAGATGCACATGGGCAATGCACGTGGGTGGTGTGTTCCTTGCACAAGGAATATCCCTTTGGTCCGTAGAATGATAACTTCAAGAGAGGATATCTGGGATCATGCGCTTCTTGGATCATGTACCCTTTTGCAGATTTCATGAATGTGCATGTGATGAGAATGTTGAACCAAATGAAGACACCTTTCTGAAAATTACCATGTCTAAGCAGCTCCTCATTGTATGCTTAGAATACTTACTTAGCAGGCAGAGATGGTGGTAAGATTTTATTAAGGACGAGAACTTTTAAAGACGAATTTATAAAATTATAGAGAGACGAACAAGTTATCCATATAAAATATAAAAAATATAAAATATACGATAATTTAAAATATTCAGGGAACGATTGTCCCAGCCCCCTCCAACCCTGGTAGCAGGACCCTTGATTAGGGCATACTAAAAATAGTGAACGAAGGATCCTAAAGATATAATCCTTCTGTAATATATTTTCTACAATACCCATATGTGGTCTATTTTTTTTCTTTAATAATTTGAAGTGAATATAAGATAGTATCTGATATATATAATTTATCTATCTAAATCTAAATAATATAATTTTAAAGATATTAAAAAGAGAAATTAAATCTATATAAAAGTTATCCCCGTGCCATTATATTGCTTTGATGGAGGAAATTGAAATCAAATTTCTTGGACAATTGAAGTAATACCGTTGGTACAAAAAGGGTTAATTATTGCCCCAAGTACCATTTCATTTAAATAAAATAGTTAGGTATCAACTTTAAAAGTGAAAAATAAAAAATAATTAAATTATATGTTAGTAATTTGTAAGCGAAAAAATAATCAAAGTGATATCAACATAGAAAAGATTACATACAAGAGATAATATTTAACATAGTTTAACCTTGTCTACCTCTAAGGATGATAAGAATAACAGTCTACTATAATCGTAGAGATCACGAATGATATAAATATATGATATCACATGTATCTTAAAAGAGAAAATAACTCAGTGACAAAAAATGCCTTATAATATACGATTTTAACCAACTTTTTTTGGATTCGCCAAAATGACCAACTAAATCGCAATGCGATCGATAATTCGCAACGCGATCTCCGGTATCGCAAATCAGTTTCCAGATTCGCAACGCGATTCTGACTATCGCATTGCAATTTCCCAAATTCGCGTTGCGATTTTCCTAATTCGCAATGCGAATACGTAAATCGCAATGCGATTAGGAAAATCGCAATGCGATTACGTAAATCGCAATGCGAATTAGGAAAATCGCAATGCGATTACGTAAATCGCAATGCGAATTAGGAAAATCGCAATGCGATTACGTAAATCGCAATGCGATTACGTATTCGCATTGCGATTTACGTAATCGCAACGAGATTCTGACTATCGCAATACTGAATTTGAAATTCGCAACTCGATTTCTGAATTCACAACAGGTTTTAATTTCGTAACACAAATGTTTTGGGTATATAAATACGCAGCAGCAGCAACTCATAACCTAAATCCCTAAATCGCAACTCATTCCATCTCCATCTATCACTCTCTCCGGCGACATCCGTTCCTATATCCAACGACATCCTTCCCCATCCGGCAACAGGTTTTAGTTTCGCAGCTCGTTTGTTTAGTAAATTAATTTACAATAATGAAATCATCTAATGTTGATCATGTTTGGATAGATTTGTGTTTTGGAGGGTCATGGGAGAATGGTCATGGTGTTTTACAATATATGCCTTTACCCATGAATCTTCAACTAAAACTGTCATTAAAAAAGTTAACTTATGAAACTCTAATGTTACGTGTTGCAAATAAATTGAATTTAGAGCCCCTAAGTGGATTTAGGCTATCTTATCAGAGAAATGGTAAAGTTTATTTGTTAACCGACAGTGAAGATGTTAAACGATTCATTGCTTATATTAGTGTTTCAAGTGATGATGTTACATTGTATGTTGTTGAACCTAGAAGTAGTGAAGTTGGGTCAGTAGCGGGTAGTAATCAACTAAGTTTTTTAACCCCAGTTTATGGTGCTCAAAATTTAATGGTTCCACCACAATTTTATCACCAAGCAAATATTGTTTCACCATATTTCCAATACCAAACACAATCTCAAAACCCACAACCTTTCCCTAATCCAAATCCCAATCAACTTTCAGCACCAGATTCCGGTTTTCGTATTGACCAGTTAGACGACGATGAGCCAACAAAAAAAATTGTGAGTACTAGTCAGTATTCAAAATTTGATCTTGGTCAATACCCGAACTTTGATCTTGGTCAATACTCGGATTTTGATGATTTTTCAGAAGAAGAAACAGACCCTGCGTGTAATAATTTTGATATTGGTCAATACCCGAATTTTGATGATGAAACAGCCGTTGCCGAGGAAGATGTTGTTGATGATAATGAGGAGGAAGTTACGACTATAAATGAACATGTTGAACATCCATTCTGTAATTCATATAACACTGAAGAAGAAAAAGAAGAAGAAAAAATCCCCAAAGAAAAGTCCCTGAAGAAAATGCCACGGGAGTATAACTGGAATATGCCAGAATTACTTCAGATACCGGAAGAAGAGTTGGTAAAGATAGCTTTGTATACGAAATGTGTGGAAGATGGCTATCAACTAAAAGTTAACAAATCAAGCAAAGATCGTTTCGAAACAAGGTGTATGATTGACAAAAACTGTATGTGGCGTATGATTGCAAAGAGGATAAAAGATTGCGAAATGTTTCAAGTTAGGACTTTTATTGATAAACATACATGTTCAAGAACCCAAGTTTTTCCTCACCATAGACAGGCAAACAAAAAGGTGTTGGGTGGTTTTCTGGCTGAGTTAATGTTTTTGAATGGTAGGGTATATCGGGGACATGAAATTATGACTGACATGAATGCTTGGTTCAAGATTAGTATCTCATATTCTCAAGCTTGGAGAGCCAAATATTATGCCTTGGAATTGTTGAGGGGGTCGCCAGAAGCATCGTTTGCCCAACTGCCGGCTTATTGTCACAATTTAAAGCTGAAAAATCCTGGGTCGGTAACTCATATCAAAACAGATAGAGATGGATGCTTTGAGTTGCTGTTTATCGCCATTGGTGCTGCGGTTAGTAAATCAATATAATTTTGTTGACTCATTTTTGTTAGTTACATGCATTTCACATTTAAATGATTATATTTCTTGTGTATATGATTTTGTAGATTCGTTCGTTTATTAATTGCTTGCGCCCAGTTATTATAGTTGACGGAGCACATTTAAAAGATCGATACCTTGGAGTAAACTTATTAATATAGTAGCCATGGATGCTAACAATGGGATACTGCCAATAGCTTACGGGGTTGGAAAATCTGAAACCTCTGATTCATGGACATGGTTTATGGGGCATCTTAGGGATTGCATAGGTCCTATTAGCAATCTGACAATCATATCCGATAGGGCAAACTCAATTGACAACGCTGTTAGAAGGTGTTTTCCAGATGCTTTTCATGGACTTTGTGGTGTTCATTTGTATAGAAATCTAAAATCAAGGTCTGCTGGTATAAAAAATCACAAATGGACATACTGGAAGGTTGTAAAAGCTTATCGGGAAGTGGATTTTAATAAGCATATAAACTGTTTAAGACGTGTTTTGCCTCAGTGTGCTCAAACACTAGAAGATGTCGGGTTTGAAAGATGGTCAAGAGTACATCAACTTTGAGCAAGATATGGTTTCATGACGTCTACTAGTGCAGAATCAATCAACGCTCTAAGTCGTCATTCCCGAAATTACCCATTACTATGTTAATGGAGTTTTTTCGAGCCTCTATTCAAAAGTGGTACTACAAGAAAAGAAACCATGAGGTATTATTTCTTTAAATTCATAACTTATCATATATTTTACTAAGTATTATTTATTTAAATTTACAGGAACATTGGAACATCGTGTTACACCATGGACATAAAAAAAGATAACAAAACGTGTTGTGAAGTCAACGTCATGGAGAGTTAAACCATGTTCAAACACTTTGTTTGAAGTACTGGATAATAACTTAAATGGGCTTGTCGATCTAAATGCAAAGACGTGTAGTTTTATGAAATGGCAAACATCTGGTTATCTGTGTGGCCATGTTATAAAAGTTTCTCTTCATCTAAACCAAGATGATTCAAGCGCATACGCTATGGATTGCTACACTACAGAAGTATATCGACAGACTTATGGCGAGATTGTCTACCCTATTCCACATCCTTCTGAGTGGGACATGCCAGATGACTTACAAACAATTTTGCCACCAGCCATGGATAGAAGGCTACCTGGCCGACCAAAAAGTCATGATCGTATACCGTCTAAGGGTGGAGAGATGAAGAGATCGACATGTAGTCGGTGCAAGGAAAGTGGTCATACAAGGTTGACATGTGGATCACCAGTGCCATCACAATCATCTTTTCCTCTACCAAAATATGGATCCTCATCAAAATCCAAAGCTCATATGGTGTCAAGCAAAAGGCAATCAAAATCGCAATCATCTTTAAAATCCCAATCACAACCGGTTTCACCTTTTGGGACTGTTAACTTAGGTGATTTTTAAATGCAAACGTTGTATTATGTGGATTTTATGTGTGAACTTTTAACATTTTCAGTTAGGCATGTATTAGTAACTTGAGTTTGAAAATTGCTATGATCTGTTCAGTTGTTATCACTTATTAGGCATTCATTTGACTATCGCAACACGGAAATGACGTTCGCAATCATCTTAATGTCTATCGCAACGCGGAAATGACTATCGCAATGCGAAATGAAAATCGCAACGAGAGAATCGCAATGCGAAATGAAA